TGAATGGAGTGTGCCCTCATTAATTAGATGAATTAAAGGGTGTTGCTGGCTAAGAAATTCTGTCAATTCTTCTTTAAAATGTCTTATCTAATGTTCTGTTCTCTATCTTCCCACTGCTATCAGCCAGATGCTTGTTAACTCATATTTCAACAACTGGAGTAGCTTCTTAAATAGGCTCAAGCTGTTCAATTGAATTCAACTAGTGATTTTGGAGAACGAAGCACAGGTCTGGCCTCGGTGGCTTCTCTGTCAGGTCTTCCACCTTGTCTTCCTTCTGTTCAGTCTACACAGTGACCCAGGAAACTTTTATAAAGGCTAGTTTTCATCATAGTACTCCTCTGCTCAGAAACCTCAACAGGCTTTCCACTGCCACAGCAATACAATCTAAGTCCTCGGATGCCTTGCCCAGTGAACACTCTCTCAGTACATCCCGAGATGGGCCCGCCCTGGCTCAGCCACCTCGTCACTGACCTGGATGTTGGCCCTTCTGAGTCTTTATCCAGGGTCTTCTTTCCTGGAATGCTCTTCCCTCATTCTCTATAGATGCCCTTCCTGCTCTAAAGGTCAGCTCAAGCCTCAGCCTTGTCCAGTAACTTTTCATCAGATTGCATGCACTGACCTACAAGGATCACTTTTGGCGGTAGTCATTTTGCCACCCTTTTTGAAAAAAATATATATTTGACCCTTGGACAACACAGGTTTGAATTGCATGGCTCCATCATATGCTGATATTTTCCATAAATAATTTTTGATTCACAGTTGAGAGTCTGTGGATGTGGAGGGCTGACTGTATGCATTGTTCTATGTTAGGGGACTTCAGCATCCTTAGAATTTTGTATTCATAGGGGGCCTGGAACCAATACCCCCAGAGGCTGAGGGACAGCTTAAGTTTTTAGGGAGTTAAAAGTTAAATGTGGATTTTCAACTGAATGGGGGGCCAACACTCCACACCCATGCATTAGTCAAGAATCCACTGTATATATAACTAAGCAATTCTAATTTTAGAAATAAATTAGGGAAGACTTGAACATGCTTGCTAGTATAAAGAAAAACATGATGTTGAGGATGTTTGCTATTGTGTTTTTTCACAAGGAGAAAATGGAAAACCCATAAGAGGTCAATCGAGTAAATCCGACCTAGACCAAGCAGCAAAGTTGCACAAAGTCATGTGCATCTTCACTAACATGGGAATCAGTTTACAGTATATCACTGAGTGCACAGAGCAGTGATAGCAGACTGTACAGCAGTATTTTAGATAGATAGATGGGTAGATAGATCATAGATAGACAGACAGGGGTGCTCTCTTGGAAGGAAGCTCTCTTCCGAGAGCATTTTCTCCTTGTGGTTTTCTCTGCATTTAAACTTTGAGTCACTGAACGAAAGTATTATTAATGAACTGAAGAGTAAGGTGGAAATTTGCCCTTTCAAACCACAAACATCTGCAGGGATGCAAGCATACATTGATGGAGTAGTTTGACACAATTCCATGTTTAGGCTGGACTCTAATAAAACTCAGCACTGCATGAGAGAATCCCATGATCCTGGAATAACATTCACTGAACTAGGAGTCTAATGTCTAGTGTCTAATTGTGGCTCAATAGCAGCCTTGGAAACGTCACTTATTTTCTCGAACCTCAATTTTCTATTATAAAATAAGTGTATATTCTTCTCAACCTCTATCCCCATTCCATCTTACAAAAATGTAAAGAGATAAATAGAAACGATAAGAATACCAAAGACACTGTAAAAAGGCAGTCGATTAGCATCAGGTGGGATTACTATCAAGATTGGAGAAACAACCCTCTGAAATCATTAGTCTCTGATACACCACAGCCTTGAATCCCAAGGTATCAAATTCATGTGCTAAGTACAGGAAAGGGCAATTTATTGGATACCTGATTTAATACCGTGGGTACATTAGTTAAGTAACAATTTAAAAATGAAAAGACAAGAATCATTTTAGAACAACAATCCCAAGCTTACTCTTCTTTAAAAAATATTTCTCACAATACTTTACAGATATTGTCTTTGCTTTTTAAAAATTAAAAAGTTTTCATTTTTATTTTTATTGATTTCAGAGGAAAGGAGAGGGAAAGAGATAGAAACATCAATGATGAGAGAGAATCACTGATCAGCTGCCTCCTTCCTGCAAACCCCCTTCTGGGGATGGAGCCTGAAACCCGGGCAACCTGGAACAAACCCTGACCTCCTGCTTCATGAGTCAAACCACTGAGCCGGTGCTTGTTTATTTTTTTTCTATTTTTAAGAGAACAGCACAGATGTAAATTTTAATAAAAGAAATATGCTGACTTTCACATCAATAACTTAAAGACAAAAATTTAAAGCTATGACAAACTCATTATGAAGGAAACAAGGGGTTACTCTTTATTTTTGCCAAGATTTTGACATGGAACCTCACTCACCTAGATGGGCAAATGGCCTTGAATTATTCACATAGATGCCGATGTACACATTTACAGATACACGTGACTGATGGCTCTTGGCACATGACTGGTAGGTGTATATCGAATATTTCTTGACACAAAAACCGAGACACACACGGAAACACCCACATGCCCCACAGAGCAGCCTCCCGAGGAGGTGCGAGGGCTTCAGGTGAAAAAGAAAGAGCAGAGGTTCTCCCTTGAAGGGAAGGGGGGGGGCACCCCAGAGACTCACCTGTCAAGTGGTTGGCAATCCTGGCTGTGGGTTTGGGAGGCAGGGCGGGGGGCTGCTTGAGGAGGGACAGCTGCTTCACTGGGGTCTCCTCATGGTCTCCAGGGAAAGCAGCAGGTTTTTTGGGGGGCAGTAGCAGGACTGGTTTGGCAGAAGGATCTTGGGACAGGAGGACTCCAGACTCACTGGCAGAGGGACTCTCTTCAGACACTGAGGGGACAACCACAGGACACACAGGAGACATTACACAAATGCAGTGTGTGGGGCTGGCGAGCACACAGGACAGGGGCTTGGCAGCCACAGACAGGCTCCGGCTCCTCCAGGTGGTCATGAGTATGTGGGGAGCTGGAGAGAACCCCAGAAACCCCTTTCCAGAGAATCAGAGGCAGGAAAGGGAGAGGGGGAGGATCAAGAGGGAGAAAAAGGAAGAAGGCATTTTCTCGAAGTTGTCACGTCCATCTCGGTGGTTATAATACTGATCCTGTGGTCCAGGACTGGTCTCTAGAATGCAATGATTCACAGACACAGACGGCAGAGTAATGCGTCCGGGATGAAGTGCCTCCTCTGACCTGAACCAGCACCAAACAGCAGCACCTCCCTTGGGGCATGTTGCCCTTTGCTAGGCAGGGAGAAAGAGCGGGTTCCCAGGTCTGAGGCGCCAGGGAATGAAGGCAGCCTAGAGTTTGAACCAGGGGGCAGCTATACATGTTCTGGAGCCCCCTGAGCTGGTGCAGCCTCTGGGGGCCCCAGCGTTTTACAGGCACCTCCCTGCCCCTGCGGCTCCTCTAAACCTCAACCAGGAGATAGATGCTCCTCAGCACCTTTTTGTCTTCCCTCTCCCTCTCTCCTCTTACCGGCCTGAATTATGGTTTTCTTGTTTAGATTTGCCCCATTTCTCTATCCTCACCTCCCCCATTTTTTTGTTAATCCTCTCCTGAGGCTATTTTTCCATTGACTTTTAGGGAGAGTGGAAGAGAGAGGGAAAGACAGAGAAACACATTGATTGGTTGCCTCCTGCAGGGCCAGGGCCGGGGAGGAGCCTGCAACCTTGGTTGGAATTGAACCTGAGACCCTTTGGTCTGCAGACCAATACTCCATCGATTGAGCCAAACTGGCTAGGGGTCACCCCATTTCTCTTTGCTCTGCCCTGGGCATGATTTTTCCTTTTTCCCGTCTGGCTCCAGTGAGGAGCTGTCTCGGGCAGAGGCAGAGGACTTCTGGCAAATGACAGACTGAAACTGTAGCTCCACTGGGATGTCAGACCTCACCATGCCCATCAAAGCCATCTGATCAATATTACAGGGAATGGTGAATAAAAACACAATTCACTGCTTCAGCTGGGAGAATCGCCCCAGCTTGTGGGACCGGGGATGCAACTCAGCTGCCTGTACTCCTTCTTCCCATCGCTGTTACAATAAGAATGCCCAGACATGACTCCCCTCCACACCCTCTTCCTCTCTGATCTGGGTAGCAGTGTTCCTGCAGCACTCAAGTCCTGGCAATAATGCCCCTGAATGCTCAATGCTCCCCCGTCCCAAGGGACACTGTTATTTTCAGCGTGGCAAACACCTGGTCCCAAAGTGAAGCCCAGGACCTGACTTGGTGAGACACCATCTCTGCCATCCTCCCACCTGAGCTCTGCTGAGGGGAGTGGGCACCTGATGTGGAGAAAGGACATGGTTCTCTACCCACACCAGATCTTCCAAGAGGTCCCTTCCCCCATGCATGTCTCCTAACAACAGAACTAATCCTTACTGGCTTGGGGAGGGTCCCAGGAGGGAATGAGTATTGGCCACTCAAAGGGCTTTGGACCAGAGAAGGAATAGTGGTTAGATGGCATCAAAATCATCTGTTGACAGGATGGAAGTGAACCAGCAAATTGTAATCAATTTAATGGCCAATGAACACATTGATTGTATACGGTAAGTTGGTACAACTTGCTAAATAGATACAACCATTAATTGATACCCTGGGGCTAGGATTAAAGGAAATGCCAGGGCAAGCAGACAGGTGAACGAGATAGGTACCATCGAGAAGTGCAGGGTTCTTTAGCTTGATCTTTAACAGAAATGAATGTTAGAAAACAAAACAATGACATTTTACATACTCAATATTACAGAAACAGGGTATGTCACTTTAAAGCTATTAAAGGTATAAAAATATTTTCAAAATCTACAATATTAACTGAATATCTTCCCAATTTTTATACTCAGTATGTACTGGTTGGTCAGTTTCATCCCTATTTCTAGGATTCTAGTCCAGTCAGGCAGAAGAGCCTTAATGCCCCCTGCTGGGGCCTGTGTGAACTCTATCAGAGCCATTACCTGTCCCATCCATGATGTCTGAAGGTTGGAGCACCTCATATGAGCAGGGATCTCTGGGCATCGGGACGGGCTCCATTTCTGACAGGGCAGGCAGAGACAGCTGGCTGGCGCTCAGGGACTGTCCGTTCTCCAGGGAGTCCTCCTCGTTGGATATGGAGAGCTCCCCATCTGCCAGGGAGAGGAAGTGCTGTTAGACAATGCCTGCCTCTGGAAGGGTGACGTTTGGGCCTGCTAACTGAGTTTCCATCTTTATCAACATCTGCACTTGTTTTGCTTTTAAGACATGGACTTTATTTTTACAGATGTGCCATCTAACTGCCAGTGCAACGATTTTCAATAATCTTCAGCCAGTTGCGTCTTTTCTCTCCATCTTTCTAACCATAACCCACCATACGTTGTCGCTTTTTATTTTTTTAATGAAAGTGAATAAAAATTGATTTTTCTTCATAATTTTGAAAAATTGGAAAAACTGAGCAGACCTCAAAGATTGGAAAACCCAGATTAGGAATTCCTACACCAGAGAATAAAGGATTCCTTATTCTTTACTAATAAATGCCAGGAGCATGGGACTCCAAGGCCTAGGAAAAAACTCATTCTGCCTTCTCTCTAAGTCTGCCCAAATTTCCTCTGAAAGGTTACAACCTCCAGAATGCAGGCAGTGAATTCTCCCGAGCTCATGGGTGCTCCTGGGTCCTGTGGGCCAGCGACTCTGATCTGGCTTATAGCTCAGCAAAGCAAGGGGCAGCCAGTTAACACCATGGGGAGGATCAAAGGCTGCTGCACAGTGGCCATTTGTCAAATCGACCCCCTATCTCCAGTGTGATTTCATCCTAGTCCAGGGGAGTCCTCCATAACTAGACACTGAAATAAAATTAGATTTTAAAGGGACTGAAGGCTGTTCTAGTAAAATGAGCAAATACCCAGATGAAAGACTCTTGTGTGATGATGCTTCGTCAGAACACAGAAATTAGTAAAGTCGTTACCTGGCTTAGAACTGGAAGGAAGATGACTCACTTGTAGAAATGAAACAGTGAAATGACTCCAAGGTTAAATTTGGAAACACAGTCCTTTTGCTCTGCCCTTCTCAAAGCTGTAACTTGATCCACAATGATACGGGGTGACAAAGGATCCTCTGCCAGCCCCTCCCCCAATTATCTATGACATGTATGTTCAACAGAGTGACCTACACATGAGCAGGCTTTAGATAACATATGGCTCAAGGACATGTGATTTTTAACCTGAAAGTCCTATAAACATAGAGAAAACATAATGAAGAGCAAAAAATCATCTGAAACAGAAAACATAAAGCATGGTACTCGAAGAGTGTTGTGTGTCTGTTTCCTTTCTTTTCTCATTTAACCTTTTTATTGCCACAAATGATAGCAGTCATTACTATAACTGATTAGAGGCCTGGTGCATGAATTTCATGCATGGGGGAGGTCCCCGCAGCCCAGCCTGCATCCTCTCCAATCCTGGATCCCTGGGGATCAGGCCTAAACCGGCAGTCGGACATCCCTCTCACAATCCAGGATTTCTGCCTGCTAACTGCTCACCTGCCTGCCTGCCTGATCACCCCTAACTGGCCCCCCTGCCAGTCTGATTACCCCTAACCGCCTCTGCTGGTCAACTTGATCACCCCTAATTACCCCCACCCCCCTCCAGCATGGTCACCCCTTACTGCCCCTGCTGCCAGCCTGGTCATCCTTATCTGTTCCTCCCTGCCAGTGTGATTGCTCCCAACAGCCCCCACCCACCAGCCTGGTCATCTCCAACTGCCCCCCTTCCAGTCTGGTCGCCCATCATTGCCCCTCTCTGCTGGCCTGGTCACCCTTCACTGGCCCCCTCTGTCAGCCTGGTTGCCCCTCATTGCTCCTCTCTGTTGGCCTGGTCACCCCTAACTGCCCCCCCCCCCCCCCCCCCCCCCCCCGCTGACCTGGTTGCCCCATGCAGCCTGCTGTTCAGTTGTTTCATCACCCCTCACTAACAACTCTGCCGTCCTGGTTGCCCCATGCAGCCTGGTGTTCAGTCATTTGGTCATCCCTCACTAATCCCCTTGCTGGCCTTGTGGCCCCACTCAGCCTGTTTGGTTGTTTTGGATGTGATGGCCTCTGGCTCTTTATATATATAGATTAGCAAGATGATTACTCTTCTTCACAATAGAAGGAGCAGCACAGATCCAAGGCTAACGCCATGGAGAGGCCACAGCTGAACTGAGGGTCTGTAGGGCGGGAAAGGCTGCAGTACAAGGTTCCCTGCACAGCATCCCATCATGTATGGTCCCGTTCCTCTTAACATGCTTTAATTTTGCATGTTCAAACCGACGCCGTGGGAAGTAGCTCTGCTTCAAATTCCCAGTTAGTAGAATAATGACACAGCTACCATTCAGATTAATATATCTCTTGGAAACCACTTTGATTTTTTTATGTTCCAAGTGTAATAAAAGTCCTGGATAAGACGGGGTTTCAGTGCTATTGCCAAGTTCTGCTTTTTTGGGGGCAGAAACGCAATGGAATGATTGGTGCACATTTTAACAGAAATGCCACAGAAAGAACACGGGGAAGAAAGATACAACTGCAGTTGGATTACTTTAGACTCTGTGAGCCGTGGTTTCACCCAGGCTTAATGCCAAAGGCGTTGTTAGTAACAGATTAGCAATATCACTCATTCCTCTTGTGTCTATTAACCCTTCCAAAAATTTAGCTCCCTATGAATTAAAAGTACCTTTGTTAAGTCACAAGGCCCATACCACTTTAGAGAAGAAACAACCTTGGGAATTCCATTCATAATCTCTACATATACATTTCCATTGAGAAAGATAAAAAACAGGAGAAAAAAGGAGAAATAAGACACTGATCATATTGCCACCCTAACAGATACAATTTCTTTTTCGGTATATATTTTTCATAGTTACATTCTTAGTATGAATCAAATTTTGTGTCTTTCTTTACTATTATAACATTACAACTTGTAGAATTATCATCTTAATGATTAAATTGGATGAATAATACTGATATTTATCCAGCCATCTCCCTATGGTTGGTCACAAAGGGATTTCAAATGTTTCATGCTATTATGAAAAAGAAAGTTCTACTGATCACCTTCTTGTATAAAATCTCTCCTGCCATTAGAATTTTCCCCCTTTAGGAGAGATTCCAATAAATGAAATTTATGTGTATTAATAATTTAATGTCTAGTGACACATACCTGGATCTTCTAAATTTTTTTTCTAAAGGTTTATTTTTCTTTCTATTTACACAATAGGAATGTATAGATCACACTAATTTCCTAGCTTTTGGTCATTTCTTCAACATTAATGTTAATAATCATGTTTTACCTATGCATGCATGTGTGCATGTATATATATATATATATACACATGTATATGTATACATATACACACCACATATGTATACATATCTATTAGACATAATTAAATTATTCAATATGTACAAAAATTCATTATTAATATCATTGATGACCAAGATTGGTAGTGACAGAAGTGAAAAACATTTTATTTGGGTTCATGTAATATGGGCATAGAACGATGCTATCATTAAGTAACTGTTATTTAAAATTCTTATTATGGCGTTTTTGAACATACACAAAGTAGAAACATTAATGTAATGGGCCTCATTTACCCATTTTCTAGGCAAGGAGCCAGGGGGGATTCTTAATGCTTGGTGGTTCCAAGTTTGATGAACTTGAAGACCATTGAGACTGAAGAGAGAGGTAGGGTAGAGTGGAGGTGTAAAATGTGTCAGATGCTGGCATATCTACCAAGGAAAGCAGGTCACAGAGTGGGGAGAGAAGGGAATAGTGACGTGGATCTAAGATACAGAACAGGCCATGATGCTGGGCCAGCCCGATTCTCCTCTTCTTGTGCAGCGTAACGAATGAAGATGCTGGTAATACCAAATGAAGGACAAAGAAAGGAAAGGTGAGAGTGAATTAGCTCAAATGATAAACTCCTGTTGCGAGCTTATAATTAACAACAAGCATCACACACCAGAAACTGCCATCCTCACAACGACCTTGTGAGCAAGGCTGGCGTTCTCTATGAGCTCCTTGGGACACGCTTTATGGTTTGTAGAAACTACAGACCTGCCTGCTTCCTCCAAAGCTCCGGGCTTCCCCACACCCTGCCCTACCTCTCCTCTCATAAACCAGGCAGGCATTGTGCCAAATGCCTAGGAGAAAACAGACATGGCTTGGGGAAGAGAGTGGGGCAAGATGTAGTGAAAAATGCAGAAAAGCAGGCAGAGAGAGAACTAGTGTGAGCCAGTTGGTGTGAGCCAGGGAAATGAAGGCAGATCAAGAAGTCCTGAGAAGTGGCTGAAAAAAAACAACAAAGGGTGAAAGAAGATAGAAGACATGTGCTCAGGCGACATGAAGACCACATAGGAAAGGTGGATCTTGTCTTGCATTGAATTCTTAAAATATTCTAAAAGTACAATTTATGCAAAAGTTGTATTCCAGAAGATTGGCCTAAAAGCATCACTTGAATTTTTGTTTGCTTGGGGATTACATCCATCCATAACTGGATCTCACCTTGTGACTACATTCCAACTTATTTTGCTTTAGTAATACTCTTTAGTTTTAGGGAATTGACATCAATTTCTGACCAATTAAATTTTCTCAAACCTTAAGGTAACTAAAGTTCTTTTTTATTTTATAAAATAGGTAAATGTCACCATAAAATCCAATGAGCAACTAGAATTCTTTCAGGTTCTTGTGGATACCTGTGTAAAAACAGTATCTATTTTTTAAAAATGGTATGAAAGATGGACCTTTTTTTCTGGATGGGCTCAGAGTTTATGACACTTTGCAGATTAAGATAAAAAGTATTAATTTTAATTTTGAAAAACAAAAATATTATAGTATAAACTTAAATTCACCTGAATCTGGTATTTTGGATATGCTTTATGGTTTATATATTAAAAAACTTATGTTTAAAAATGTATTTCTAGTTGGACAAGAACTCCTTACTTAATAAATAACAGTTGAATGTGACTATAAAAAATTGCTTTATGAGGGCATATGCTAAGGGGTGGGAGCTTCTGGGGAAAAGTCAATGGGGGAAAAAGGAGACTTATGTAATACTATAAACAATAAAGAATTTAATTTTAAAAAAGAATTGCTTTATGTCTACTTATTGAACCATTACTGAA